TTCCATCGAGGAGATTGATGCTTTGATGAAGAAGGCCTTGCGGGGACCAGGGCTGTGATTCGGGCGCCAGCCAACTTGGAGCGGGTTGCATTTGCTGAGAGATGCGGAGAGTGTTGACGGTTGATGACGATATAGGTGTTTTTTTGTGCTTATATGCTGGAGGTTATATAATCCTTCCATGAGACATTCGCAGACAGTCTCATCATTACATAATAATAGTAATAAGTATGCAGACATATGTTGAGGGTCTTGGGCCTTCATCAGTATTCATCAATGACAAAAATGTGCGGACATACCTTCAGGGTCATGGACCTCTCAATTTTCCTAGTGTCGGCTTAGCCAGACATGTTCCTAGCGCGGCCCCTTTCTTTCCACCTATATAAAATATATACCTGAGATCCTTAAAAATGCTTGTTTGGCAGCGAGTCTATTGTTGCCTTTTGACCGACAGGCGTCAGAGACCTACATGAAGGGAGTTCTGTCCTTCACTGATGAGGAGTTGGTGTCCAGCGACTTCATCCACAATGTGTGCCTCGACTGGCTAAAGCTGTCAAGGCGGTGTCGAATCATGTCGAAACATAGTGTCTATTGTTCCAAAGCAGCGAGACTTCATCATTCAAGTGACCCGTGGGTTTGCCTAGGACTGTGCACTTTGAAATCCTGTAAGTACTGGCAAATTGCCGGGGTTGTATTTTTCTGGCTAGGTATTAGGCAGGTGACAAGATGCTTTCTTGGAATAGAAGGAGGTGGAGGAACATCCTCAACTCAGACAGATTCCCTGAGGAACTCTTCGATCTACGACTCCAAGGCCACCCTGCAGAACAACCTCAAGGGAGAGAAGCGCTTCTTCAAGATCGTGTCTTTTGGCAGCAGAGGGCGCAGATGCGGATGACATGACAGGGTCCAAGGAGCGGCTGCATGTGGTATTTATATTCAACATGATGTACTATTTGCAGTAATGTCCTTCAGCGTCTCACCCTGACTGTGCCCCCATCTGGGTTGAGACTCAGGGAGAGAACCTTTGCATTTGAGAACCTGGTTTACGTACCTACTGAACCTTAGCCACTTTCTTTGAGGTGAGACACTTGAAACATCTTCTAGGCCCAGGTTTTTCTAGGCCCAGGCTTTTCTTAGTGGCGACTAAAAAGAACAAGCTTGCAAAAGCCAAGCTTTCCCAAATCTTCCATGGGACTGGAATATTTACCCACATAATCCCACATTAATGCTTCAAACATGTTCAAGCCACATGTAAGCAAATATGCCATACATGGACTGTTTTTGTTTCGGTATTGCCATTCCGTTCTGTTTGAACCGTTCGGTATACATTGCGATCGATGCGTTGGTCACAGAGAGTCTCGCTTCAGGTCTTGGTATGACAACGAGTGGGGCTACAGCAACCGCGTGGTGGATCTGCTGATGTACATGATTGCAGCCTAAGCGCGGACTCGATTAGGATGAAAGGGAAAGATCTGCTCCAACATGCTCCAGCGGCGTCCCTATTCTCTGCAGGTCATATAGGTATATATAGGTTGATGTTCCAGATAATAGAGCTTCTCCATCAAGAAAAAACATATCGAGCTTCTCTTCATCCACTGGCCAGCGTTGTTTTCACATGTTTTCACCAATTTTCAGTCCAGATGCGTGGCGTGCAGAACGAGCCACGAAAAAGGGACGGTCCCAGGGGCGGAAGTACGTGCGCCGTTGGTCGTGTGGCGGCACTTTTGCACTTGCTTTTCAAGTCTTCCTCACTCACAAAGCATGCTCAAGTACTGTAACATAAAGATACTTGATATATATATATATAATATATATATATATATAAATATAGAGAATTCGGAAGAACAGGTTGCAGCGTGCGTTATTGTATATAACAAGGTCATGTTTCATTAAAGGTATTGGTGTGCGAAGGCTTGGCCCGGTCGGTGGGTGCCAGAAGGGCTAAAGGGGCCAGGTCGTCGATCATGGTGGTGTAGCTACAGGTTTGCGGTTTTAGGTCATTGTTGCATGATTTTGTCTGAATATTAATAGGCAAGCAGTTATATAGGTTTGTAGTAGATTATGTGGATTTTGTAGGTGATAAGTTTCTTGATTGAGTCAAAAACGATCAACAACAATTCCATTACAACACCGACCTCACAACCATGATATATCGTTCGAGGCAACGTCACTGGGTACAGGCCATGATTTGATGGGCCATGCGAGTGATGTGCTTTCATGTGCTTGGATCAAGGTGGACCAAAGGAGCATTTTGTGCGTGCGTGTCCCATCAAAAGTCAGACAAAGGATAGACCAACCTGAGATGCATCGGGCTAGAGATGGTTTGGTGAAAATGTCGAGGTCTCCTCGAATCCCCAGATCCCCGGATCCACACCTCGCAGGAATCGGGACCATTCATCCGCAGGAAGCCCACTCAGCCACCGGACTCGTCATGCCGTGATCGCGTTCCGAACGCCAAGCCGATCGACAAAGAGGTCAGGAAGCGCTCGGGTGGACGCCATGGATCTGTCGGACATGCAGCAGCAGATGAATTCGGGGCTGAACTTTGGGGTGATGAACGCGATGCGGACGGGCAATCCCATCTTGGATGTGCTGATTTGCATGCTGATTCCAGTGATCTTAAGCTTCTTTATGGGGAATAGCAATGCTGATCCCATGAGCAAGAGGTTTGTAGACACATGCCAACAGCTGTAACTCGCTTGCGATTTGAGTTTGTGCTCCTTGTTGTTCATGTTCTTCGTTGAAGATGAGATCATTTGACCTAGCAACCCCACCTCCGCCCTTTGAAGACTTCAGAAAGGACGTCAAAACACAATAACATCGATGCGGGTCCAAGATGGCCAGAACATCATTATAGAAAACTAAATTGCACAAACAAACCACCAGCACCACCCATTTCGTGTGGTTGGATGGACAGAACGCATAGTCAGGGGTCTCTAGAAACAAGTTATTAACCACTCGATCTGGCTGGTGCTGGCACATCCTTGGAGCAATAACTTTCAGGATGCGACCTCATCTCAACCACAAAAAGTCAGAGAATTAAAGACCGTGCGCATGGATTTCTGCACGATGGAGTGAACGTTGGACTGCATTATTATGGTATATGCACATATCTATATGTTTACTATATACCTGGAACCCGTTTGACCCCCTGACCCCGTGTTTTGATAGGAAAATACCATATATGTTGGATAGTCGGTGGTCCAAAATAGATGTCATTCAGGTTCATTTTAAGAGGGCGACCCCCGAACTCTCGCCCAGATCGGCAGGGCCAACTGGATCGTTGGTCCGGGCATTGCTGGTAGAATTTGGGCAGCGTGGCATGAGGGGGAGGTGTGTTCTGGCACATCACCACGTTGATATACGTTGATCCACATGTTTCGCATGCTTGGTTCGCACGTGTTGTTTTGTCCGTCCATGTCTTTGCAACTTTGGCCGGCAGGTATGACTTTGCCACTGGCACAAAGACCTACATCCGACGCGTTGAATATGAGGACCGCGGCTACCGATACTTTGGTGATGACAGAACTGCGCTGGACACCTCTGCACGGAACAATATCTTGCAGAAGGCGGGACAAGGAGGATACCAGTACTGTACAGTGGTTTCAGAGTAGATGGCACGTCACACCCCCAAGATGTCCTTGAACGATGGGGGTCAATATAAACCTCTCAATCCACTGTCAATGACCCCGTGCAGACAGAAATCAGAACTCGAGTCACAGTCACATTGGAGTACTTAATATATACTGTGGAAAGCCCTAGGTTTCCAAGATCTTGAACACTGTGTAGCAAGAAGAAGGTTTGGATATGGCGATCAAAAGAAGGTTTGGCGCCCAAACATTGTCTTGCCTCCGCGAGATCTATCTCCGTTCGGTCGTCCGGTCGGAGATATGTCGACCTGAGGCGATCAAGCTTCACATGCAGGAGAATTGCACCTTGGATATCGATGACGCAGAGGTCTACTTAATCCCTCAACGCCAGGTCGCGCGAGAGCATTCTTGTCAGCTCAAGTCTTCATGTTCCGCAGGGATGGTCGATAGTGAGCAAGGGGAGGCTGAATAAGAGCCACAGGAAGAACCAGGGCATCAAAGCCATTCGCAAGCCCTAAGAAAGGCTTGATGGGCATTTTCAAGATGAGCTGCAATCTTGTTTGGAACATGAAAGCTGCATACCTGGAAAAAGCTAGCTTCTGATAGGGCCAGATAGGGGAAGTCTTAATTGTTTTCAACGATGTCCAATACATGCTTTGTAGACTGTTGATTATATTTCAACGCCTCATACAAAGAGGTTTTACAATCCAAATGGGATGATTGTATCAATCAAGGATCTACACTACAGGCTTAGTTTGGCTGCAGTAGCTTTCAAGTGCCGTGTGTGCGTTAGTCAGCTGGGAGCAGGTGAAGTTGGAAAAGGACGAATATGGCTACGGCTGCATCTTCAGTGGCAGTTACAAGCAGCTCATGGCCTATGCTGTGAAGCTTGGATTCATCAGATGAACGTCCCTTTTTGGACGGTGTCCAAGCTCTCACCGGCAAAAGTCACATCACACGGTTTGACGTTTTACTTGCATCTCATACATGTTGAGGTGTATACAACTGAGTGTTCATGGTGCCGGTGCCGGTTTGCACCAGATGAGTTGAGGAGATTGCCCTTGATTCGGGATTCTGATTCTGATGGTTACTTTGTTCCAGGTCAGATGCGGTTGCTGGATTTGTTACATGCTTTTGTGAAGGGGTGCATTGGATATGGGTGCCAGACTGTTCTCCCAAGCCCGAGCCAGTCTATCCTGTCAGATATACTGTTTTGCTTTAAGCAAAACAACAGCTGTTGCTCCACCCCAACGTCGTTGGGTTCAGCGTCCGTATGCCGAAGCGCTCAGGAACCGACTGCCCAAGAAGGATCATTGGGTGTTGGTGGACGCCAAAGATCCGCCTCTACATTTCAGACATGCCTTGGAGGCAGATGTAGGCGTCTTTTTTTTTGGTTTTTGTGGGTTTGGATTGGTGGTGATTTGGATCGGACAAGGTACTTGTAGGTCTTGGGGATGTGTTTTTCATGCTTTTCGGGGGCGAGAGAGAATCCTGTCCAAGAATGTACAAATATAAGACGATTCCAAAGGATTTTCCCTTGTCATTATTTTTGCGCTGGCTTGCTGGGTCTCCGAAGCTAGCGAATTGTACGGACGAACGGAAGTGCCTGAAAGCTTGAACGTCCAAGCCTCTAAAACGACTGGGAGCCTGGCAAAGCATGTAAGTCCATGCCACCATGCCCAACCTATCATAATTCAGTTAACCAGCAGCCAAGACCATGTGGTTTTCAACCATCTTTGTTGGCTCGTCATCTCTTTCTACACAGCCCGGAGAAGGGCTGCTTCCCATGGCTTCGGTCCCCACTGGGTCTGTGTTGTCTGGCACACCTGCACCAACTGAGCTTAAGTTACCGTAAATAGGACCCGGTTTGTCTGGGGTACCTATAGTCGAACTAGGGTTCTTCAACCAGCTTGCGCCAGGTCAACGAAGAGGGTGAAGGCCAAGGCCGCGTTTGTGTGCGCACTGTCGTCTTCGAGCTGCGCGCGCGAGGGCCCAAGGCCAAGCGCAAGGCGGGGCGGAGGCGAAGTCGGAGCTGCCCGCCAGCTGGTCGGCGGGGCGGAAGGGAGTTGGAGGCCTCAACCATCAAGTGGAGGCCTCACTAGAGATCCAGGTTTTGCGGACAGGATATTCTTTTCCATATATAGTCTAATATATAGTCCCCGAACTGGGTGAATCCCCCGGTGAAGCGGTACGGGTGAAGAGATGGTTGCCATGTGATCCTCTTTTTTCGGTAGGTGGTGTTTCGGTATGTGTGCAAAGGTTTGGAGTAACGGTGCAGTGCGGGGGGTATGAATCTGAGAAACATCTGCTTGGATGTTGCGCATCGTGCACTACTCGAGAGACCATTTGCTTTGAACACACGGGAGACATGTTGAAACACAACCAGTAACACAACCATAGAACACACACTATATATATATACACACCCAAACTCCTGTGTCCTATTATTACATTATACACTATATGTGATATCCATGGTGAATAGCTTTTATCCTCAGCCACTTCATAGCTTCGTGTCGTCTCGTCCTGTCGTTTCGTCGTGCCAAACGAACCGGACGATGAAGCAAAGAGATACTCTTGAATCACCAAGTTCACAAGGATTGACATGTTCAAGCCCAGCAGATCAGCAAGAACATCCGTTCATCGTTCAGGCATGATGAAGGTATGAAAATATGCAACCCTGATGCTGGTGGACTGGATGCGCTCTCAGGGCACGGCTGACTCCGCAACCCGTCGCACCAGTCACCGAAACCTGTCAACAGGTGGACGATTTCATCGATCAGGCCTTTGAATTTTACAAGACAAAGAAAGGCGAGGAGATTGACAAGAGACTTGGTGACAGGTCAACCATTTGCATTTCTTTTCCTAAACCGCGTTGTTTTTGACAATGAGCAACTCGTTCATAACATTCTATGAATTGCGTGTTTGTGCGGTTATTTTTCCGTTTCTTTGATATCAAAGACAACCGTGGTCCCAGAAACCAAATCAGAGATGGGTAGACGGATGTAGACGGGTCAAATTGGACTCATGAATGCGTTTCGCGTTTCCCGGGCCCCGTGCTGGTATACGCATGAGTCCGAATGATATTGATTGATGATACTATTGATATATTGGCCAAACGTCTACAACAAGTGCTTACTTTGTGGGAATGTGTCTAGCTGGGTTTGATCTTATAACAAAAGGATTCACAAACACACGCTGCCAGGTCCAGCAGAAAGAGAATGATAATCCATGACTTTCAGGCATGTTACAGTAACAAGATACTAAGTAGGTGTTTCCCGAACAAAATGTCGCGCTGCCTGGTTCAGAAATAAACAACGTCGATGAACAATGTCGCTTATATATATATATAGAAGTAAAAGCATAATTCGATTAAGCTGTCTTGTGTGGTTTACTTTTTACAATGCACAAGCTAGCTTGATTGAAGTATCACGTTTGATTATCGTATGTATATTGTGATACAATGTACTCTGCTGTTAATGGATGTTTCTTTCCAGCAGGAGCACCTTACACATTATTGTTTCTATGTTCTACTTGTGCGGCTAGCTCATGGTGCAGCTGAAGTTGCGTTACAATGCTAAGCAGCTTGCTGTAAGGTTCAAGTTGGTCAAAATTTAGTTGACATCAGAAGTTGTATTCACTGTGCTCACGCACAGCCCCTTCCAGGCATTATTGCCAGCTGGCTTCGCCGCGATGTTTGGCTGTTCAGGTCAGTGAGTTAGATCAAGGGCGACCAGCTGAAAGCTTGCAAGCGCTCGTTAAATTGTTGATTGGCTTAAAGTAAGTTTACCTCGGATGGTCTTTAACCTTTGTTTGGAGTTGGTTTCCCCACTAAGCAAGAACAGATGTCAAACACACATTCATCCACATGACGGAGAAGAAGTCCAAGGTGGATGCAACTCGGCGCCCAATGAACACTTCAACGTACCATACCCCTGTAATCTCCCCGTGCTCGCCTGACCTTTGCTTTTGGCTTTTGGACTTTCCCGAGGAGCGACGCAGCCAATCGGTGACGGTGGTGGGATCACCGACGAGCCCGCAGCTTGGAAGGTGATTGGAATGCTGAGGGGGTGAAGGATTTTTTGGAGGTGATGTGGTGTATGAACTCGGTCCAGAAAACCTTATAACAGTTCAGTGGCCGCCTGGGATCGGGATCGGGGTCCAGTTCTTCTACTGAGGACCCTCAGCATGAGCCGCTGGGATGTCAAAGGAGCTGGGTTGTCAGCTTGCAGTGTGGAGCTGGTGGAGCCACACGGGATAATGCTGATTGGGTCCGCAGTCGAGAGACTAGTGGACGTGTGGGAATTGGGCGGGTCGGCGGATGTGGCTTGGGGACAGTGACACTGATGGCGGGGGTTGTGGGTGTCTGGTGCGTGGGTGGATTGGTGTTTGTGTCCTGAGGCAGTGAACTGGGAGTGGGATCCGTACTGGATGGTGGGTGGGCTGATGAAAGGTCTGGGGCTGTGGGAGAGGCCACTTGGGGCGTGGGGTGGGGTTGTGTGGTGGGAGGGTACATGCTGAGGTTGATGGTGCATAGTGTGTGAAGGTGCCCTGTACTTCTGGTGGCATCGTCAGAGGTACCTGTTGAGGCTGAAGCATGGATGCCATCGAGGGAGTCATCGAAGCAAACTGTGCGGCCTGGATCGAGTAGGGGTGGGGTGGTAAGCATGGCTGTTACATCGTTGGGGCAAAGTGAGGTTGGTGTGGTACATTATTGATGAGGTTGGTGCGGTAGAGCTTGACATTGCATCGAGGAGGCGCCAATCTATGTTAGAATGTGGATGGTGGCGATGATGATGATGATGATGATGATGATGATGATGATGATGATGATGA